AAAAAAAAAAAAAGAAAGAAAAAGCTCCTTTTTTTTTTTTTTTTTTTGTTGAGAAACAAAATACATTTTTCCTTTATGAAACTTTTGACATAATTGCTAAAAGAGGAGTCATGAGGAAGTCACTCAACAATGCAGCAAACAGGTTGGTGGCTGCAGTGGATTCAGAAAGACAAAACATACATGTCTTTTAGTGGACTTTGCATTTCTTTAAAGAAAAAACATGAAAGAGTAAGAAAATTACACTATTATTACACTATTTAATATGTAATTTTCATTACACAAGTTTTTCTTGTGTAATTGCAAGCTGAAAACATCTTTTTGAAACACATTTCTCTCCCATAGAACTCACAAAGTTTGGTTGCTACAGAAAACAGAAGGTTACAAGAACCTATACAGTGATTTTGTTTTTCAAATTTCAGCAGAACTTCAAGGTGGTTATTACCTATTCTTCATTCTACTCACCGATCTAAACTACAAAACAGTTCTTTGTAATACATACTCAAGGATAGAAGTTGTATAGTAGGAAGACAATACAAGATAGGTCTTTGGACACTGAGAAAAATGAAAGGTTGGAAGTGTAAACATGCCTAATATTTCTCTGTGAGGAAGCCATATTTCACTTCTCTTTCCAAAGGCATAATAGAGTAACAAAATAACTTTAAACAAGTAAACTTAAGTTTAAAGCATTAAGGAGAACCTCAACTAGCTGGATCCCTAGCTAGTAGGAATATATGTAATCTCAGCAATGTCAATAATATGACATGAAGTTATGCTAGCTGTTGATCTCACTCATAACATCTACAGCCCACACCTAACCATAAATACATGAATTATGTTTGCCTTTTTAAAACTGATTGAAGCTTAATAACAACTTATATTTGAAATATTCATGGACACAAGTTAGCTTTGAAGTTAAATACTTAAGTGGATAAAGTGGACTGTATATCTAATCTTAACTAAATGTTTCCCTTAGTTACTAATACCAGTGAAGTTTCACTAGTTAAAATCATTATTACAGAGAAGAAATGCAAAGCCCACAGCACATTAAGGGGCATTTAATCCTGCTCATTGCCAGGACACAGTACATGTTCTTGGCAGTAACAGCTCCTCCACTATGTTCCCCATCTTTGCTTCAAGATTTGACAGAGTGATTTCTAAGCAAGATTTTAACTACAGTTTCCCAACACTGACACTGTTACAATCTTTCTGACTTTCTTACCTCTTTCAGTGTTGCAAGTTTCAATTTAAGATCACAAACTTAGTTGTAAAGCCCATTCAGCAAGGAATGAAGTTAGAAGTGAAGTGTGGTATCACTAAGACTGTTCCTGGGCTATAGTTGAGCCCATAGTGGAGCCCATCAGTTTTCTTTATATATTCTGCAAACCACACTCACACCTTATCTGTACATAACACCATAAATGAGCTTTGTCCAGAAAATTTAAATGAGGCTAGAGAAATAAAATGCACCAAAAATGCTGGTGGACCACAATTTGGTTGCCTCTGGAATAGTAAATGACCACAACACTGGTGTAACATTTGTGTCCATCACCATTTTTTGGCTCAATTGGCTGTAATAAAGCCTATGCAGGTGCACATTTTGCAATGAAAACTCATCCATCCTCTCTCTGTTAAAAAGCAAAAAAGTAAAAAGCAGTAAGGGAATAAAATAAAATAAAATAAAATAAAATAAAACAAAATAAAATAAAATAAAATATTAAATGAAAAACCCAAATGTTCCTGCCAGTCTCCTGCCAGTAACAGGGTGTGCACTGTATAGACTTATAGATTATATATAGTAAGTAATTATAATACAGTTTGAAGGCAGGTTTAGATGCTAGAGAAAACAGTCACTACCATGACACTTCTGCAACAGTAATTTCCCCATAGCTTTGGTTATGTTCATCTCCATTCCTGTTTAGCAGAGCCCACAGCAATATACATTATATCCATGTATATGTCTGAAACTCTATAACCTTTGCCAGAGTAACTCTCCAGGAAGCTCTTCTGACCTTTACTTAAGATAAAGAAAGTAAGTGAAATGAAGAAATAAATGTTCCTTTGATAATACTGTGTAAGCTGTGGCTAAGGAACTTTGAAATACAACAGCATTAATGAAATAGCCATATTAGGAAAATTTCTTTATCGCCAAAAGCAATGACAAGCTTCAATGGGGCTTTTCATTCACAGTCCACAAATTATTTTCCAAGAATCATTGACTTGTTTTGTAACGATAATTGTGGGTTAATAGAAGCCCTTAACTGTACTTTGTACTCTTACACAAAGGATGTATGCATACAGGACTATATCTGAACCCAGCTCCATATGTAGGATAAGGTAATTAATTTTCAACATAGAAACAGTTTCAGTTTTCAGATTATAGAATAAAAAAAAAAAATAATAATTGTGAAGGCACAGATGAAAAAATGTTATAAAGGGCAACCCTAATAGTGATTAAACTTGTTGGTTGGTATTTGTACAGGAACTTGTAGAGAAAAACAAAAACTAAATTGTTCTTCTGCAAGTATACTATCAGCATCCAGGAGAAGTCATATTTATATATTATCTCTACAAAACATTGTCATATTGCTTTAAGAATATTTTTTTTTTCAGTGTATATATTTAAGTAACTGGAAAAAAAAAATTGATACAAGATTTATAAAAAAACTCAACAACTCTGATTTTATTTTTTAGAGGTTAAATACTATTGTAATGCAATTGTTTCAGATCTCTCTAATTTTAATTCCAACATATCAGTACACAACTATATTTAACAGCTACCTGGTTTAGCAAACTGCAGTAATTTACTCTGATGGGATAAATTATTTAAGTTATTTAGCAAAATGGAAAGCTACCACGCATTCCACTGCAGTCAGCAGACAGTGCTGAGAAAAGATCTGATGATGGAGAGAAGTCGTGCCGCAAGGAAAGATGAGCACGAAGCAGCCATAAGAAGTCTGTGACTTTGTCATACAGCATTTCTCTTCCGTATTTTTAATGCCCTTGCAACCACCCAGTTACACAGACCAGCAGGTACAGTGAAGGAGAGCAAGCGTTTAACAGAATATCAGCAGCAGTTCAATAGGTAACAAGCAAGATTTGAGGGGTATGGAGTAACAAAAAAACTATAGGCACACTTTAAGTGAACTAGTAACCAACACAAAGCATCCAGCTTGACATAACTACTGCTTTCTCCTTTTGATTCAAGGCAAAGTTTCATCTGAGTAACAAAATACCATGTTAGAATGACTTAAAAATGCCCCAGCAGTGGCTGTGCTTGATTATCTGAAGACTTTTCTTTATTTATTCATATACAAAATCTGTTGAGCAGCCTGATTTCTGCCTGGGACAATTGTCTGCTACATCCCCCCAGCCCAGCGTCCTTCTCCTTACACCAAGGGAAAGAAAGAGCCTCTCTGCCCTCAGGCAGGACCTGTTCCTCACTTCCTTGGGGTCGGGAAGTACAGGAGCTGGACCCTGCTAAAGGTTAAACCTTCAGCCCAAGCAGTCCTTTTTGGCTGCATGTCAAGTCGCCACTTGCTTTATCTGTTCCTCATGCTGATGTCACTGCCCGGCAAAAGGCACCACCACATGACCGCGGATGACACAATAAATAACAAATACAAAGAGCCAAATATAAATATACAAGGACATATTTTTAAGAAAGCGATGATTCATTCTGTACTTACAACTTTCAGCCTGATAGTCTGGCACAAACTGCTCGTCATTGTCAGGTACCTGAGCTGAAGAAAGGAAAACAAAAACGAGAAACAAACAGACAAAAAATAACAAAACAAAACAAAACAAAACAAAACAAAAAAAAAAAAAACGAGGAAAGAATTAAAAGAAGTCATTAAAGCATAAATAAAGATTCTTGTGCTTAATTTGAAGCATAGCCAAGATTAAAATTAGAATTTTTGTTTCTCTCATTGTTGGCCATGAAAATCAGGCATGAAAATCAGGCAAGCGGCTTGGTTCCGTACTGGACAAGCTCAGGGTGAAGCTGCGTGGTGCAGCCCTGCTAAGGGATGCTGAGGATGGGAAGGCTGCTGCTGGCACCACGCTCTGCACCTGCCGAAATCCTGCCATGCTCATTTGCAAAAACATCTGCACGGAAAGCACCAAATCCTAGTGTTTAACACCTATGCATCTTTAACCCCAAGCTACTGCATCTTTGGCAAACTTAAAAATGATTCCAGTTTTTCATGGCAGCCAGCCAACTCAGTAGGGTTCTTTTTGTTATTATTTTAAATACTCAAAAAGAGCTATTTTAGCAGACCGCAGAATTGCTGGTTCAATAACAACATTTCAGACACTGAAAAAAACCATACTTATTTAAACAAGAATCATTATTAACATCCATTCAACTTTTCTGAGATCATCTTAGCTTTTAAGAAACTTTCATCACAAATCTGAGCCATAAAATACGATCATTTCATGGTCTGCTGATACATAATATTGCTTCTGTGGTACCATGCCTCCTTCTCATTGTGTACCTAAGACATTAGCTGTAGTGTCTTGTAATCTCATTAGAAGCATTTAAGCTGAAACACCACTAAGTGTATATCATAGGTGAGTACATTTGGAGAGTGGCATCCTCAGAGCACAACTGGCCCTTGCTACTTCCTACAGAGATCCAGCTTACCGTGTCTGAACTCCGTCATCTTTTGCTCAGTGCACACTAACTACATTCATTGCTGCAAAGCTTCATAAAGTTATCTGCTAGAACATATTTTAATTTACACACTTCTTGTCTAAAGAGAAGCAAATAATTCACATGATCTTAATTAAAAGTTAGCATCTGCCATGATGTGCTTACCCAATAAGATTCAAGAGGTAAATACAGGTCGTACAATAATTTATTGAACCAGTAGCTATCAAACCAATAAAAACGGTAAATGATAAAATGTAACTTCAATGCCTTAGAGAGCCCTTTCCAGTTTAAGGTACGTAAGTTCTCCTTTATATTTATGCAATTGCTACTAGCTTGAACAGCATTTATTTGAATTAAAAATACATATTTAATTACAATTATTTTCACTGTGCTCTTCAGTACTCTTTTTGGACCAGGTCTCTTACTCAGGAAATAGCTCTAATCACTTAACTGGGAGGTTTATATCCCTGGGTAAAGACTCCAGAATCAGGTTCATCATACTGAAAATTTATTTGCTCTCAATTTTAAAACAAATGTTTAAAGTCTTAGTTTCTTAATTGTAGCAAATATCGCTTAAGAACAAATGACCTTGGGAGCTCTGCAAACACTGACTTTAAGGGAAGTGAAGGTAAGATAAATATATGAAGAGTAATTCATATTACCTGAAAAAAAAAAAAAAAAAAAAAAAAAAAAAAAAAAAAAAGCATTGCTATTGTTGTTTTGTTAGTTTTTTGCGGTCAACTTACTGCGATCTACTCTCCTAACAGAAGTCTGTCTCGGAGGCCACATTAGCTCCTCGAAGTTTGAAGTTGTGTATGTAATTTACCAAACCAAATATTTCTAGTATTTTTGATGCATTAAATTTCTCTTTCCAATAGGGAAAACACAGGACTTTTACCAGAAATTAACTGAAGGACAATACAAGCCCAAATATTAATACAATGAAATTTCTGACATTTCATGCAATTCACTACATGTGAATGTTAGACACTTTCCTAACAAAAATGCCAAATATATGACCATCACTGAAGAATCCAATTATGAAATCAAGTTTCGGATTTTTCGTATTTCCAATTGTTTTCAAAAGATTTGTGCATACATTCGCAGTTAAAAGTAATTCCATCAAGTAATTTCTTGTTTACAGAAGGCACATCCCACACATTGTTCTTAAGCCAGCTATCATTTTCACATGCAGCAAGGAGGCTAGAATGATTCTAATTTTATTATATGAACACAAGAGCATATATACATGTACGTCAATTTGTGAAGCCGGGATATTTGAAAAAGGCTAAATGAAACAAAAAAACTCCTGCTGAAAACAAGAAGCTTCGTTTAGTGATTGCAGAACTGGGACAGCAATCTTATATAACTTTCTAGAGCATATTCTGTGTGCCGGACTGCTTCACAGCGATTTATTGTGTCTCCAGCAGTTTAACCTGACTTACTTCAAGTAAATCTTGTATTTAATATATTAGTAAATGAGGTCTGGATTAAACAAGAAAAATACTTTTTTCATTGATCCCCCAAAATTATGAAGACATATTTAACAGAGATTAAGGCGCATCATTTTATCAGTGCTCTAGAAAGAGATGGAGACTGCTGTCAAAGTGTATTTTAAATACAATATTGACACAGCCTTAGAAGTCTCTGTAGGACAAGGACTGAAATAAGACAAAAGTGTTTAAGACTATGCCAAATATAAACAAAACAAAACATAACGTCCAAATGTTCAACCTGGTAACGTTTCCTACCAGAATCTATTTCTGAGGTACCGATGGTATTAAACTGAGCCAGCAAGTCTAGACACAGAAATTAAAAGGACTCACTATCTGTTAAAGACGAGAACTTAAATTGTTCCTTCAGTTAACCTGGTATCACTTTTTTTTAAATAGCAAAATTGCAACTCACACATAATCATACTGCAGAAATGCAAAGGACCATCAGCCCAAAACACGGACTTCTTCCAACAGCATCTTGCTGTGAGAAGCCAAACGGTCTGGATACATCATCCCATTACTCAAAGGGAAGAGGGCTTTTATACATTCAGTTTGGATAATTACACAAAGCCTTTGCAGCAAATTAAAAGGACAGGTAAAGACACTTTAACATGAATGTCTGAAAGGAAAATGTAACTTGCAGCGTTGCAACTGTCTGCACATTTATATACACATGACATTCATTTCCTCTTTTCTTTTATTCACAAATACTGCAATTCAGCAAGACTGCTATAAAATCTTCATTGGACTTCTGTTAATGTACTCAGTACAGGACACAATGCATAAATCACCGAAACTTTTTTCTTCTACTTTGTCTTTCAGAGGAAAATTGAAAAAGATGCCTGAAACAATCATCTAACTGAGCTCATTCCCTGAGCTACCTAATTATGGGGGTTGAGAAGGGAAGCATATACCAAAAGAGTAATAAAAGGTTTTGAAGGATATTAAGCACGTGGCTTTTACTGCTAATAGCAGAAGCAGCAACATCAGTTCATTCCACATTCAAAGTCAAAAAGTCTCACAATCCTGGAGCAGACAACATCTGCAGCAAGCTATCCAGTTCTGTCTAGATTATTAACAAAAGTTTTCTTTTTCCTCTTATTAAAGCTATAATGTCTCAAGAGCACTTGGGAAGTGTAGAAAAATGTTAATGATAATCTCGAGGACATTATCAGTTTAGAGTTTACAGCTTCACTACCTACTCAGTTAAATTCAGTTTGTAAAAAACAAATGTTTGCAGCACAAAAATGCTTAAGATTTGTTTGCAGTTTTCAGAGTTCTAAAAAGCCCTTAAAAAGCTGAACTGTGGCACATTTTGCAGAGGCAATGACGTTCAAAAACAGGGATAAAAAAAAAAGAAGTTTTAAATTAGGGCCTGTTACCTTGCTTTCCCTGCAAGTAAACAAAAATAAAAAGTCCCCATGAACAAGCATCCAGGACAAAAGGAGTTAATATTTAATTAAAACCAGCTCTATCCACTGTAACAATGACCTGGAGCCAAACAAGGCAGAAGATGTATGAGTCATTCTTTCTGCCAGTGAATGAGACAGCTGATCTCCGAAGCAATTCCTCAAGACAAGCAGTCAGAACTGGAGTTCTGCCTCCATTCACAAAAACACAGTCCAGCACGAACCATGTGGCCCCAACCACAAGCTTTTCATGTCACACCCTTCCAGAAAGCTACAGCAAAGTAAACTTGAACTTTAGGCATAAACACACTGATTTCACTGCTTTGTCTCAAGACGTAGCACAGACCTGCCGAGGAACATATTTAATAAATGAAAAGTTAAGCGAGCTATAAAGGGCTTAAATTTAACTCTTCCTTCTCCTGATTACAAACAGCTTTGTAAAGCAGAACTGCACTCCAGGGAAAGGTGTTCTTGTTTAAAAACATCAACTTTTTTTTTTTTTTTAAAGAAAACAAGGAGCTGCAAACCTCCTTGCTTCACTTAAAACTTTATTTTGAGTATCATGACACTTCCTCTGGTGCTGTGTTCTCTGACCTCAAGCTACTCTTTTAGAGCTAAGAGCCATTTGTTTTAAAATATCAGAGATTTATTCAAAGTGCCAAAAGAAATTTAAATTGACAGGAAATTATACATAGCCAGTAGTGTTTTAGCTGGAGCTAAAATAAGACTTTCAGGCCTCAGAAGTAATGAGTCTACTTAGTTCTCCGTTTTCTTTGATTGTCAGTTCTCAGTATCTGAAAGATTATATACATTCTAACATTCCTGAAATAATGGGGTGGTAGGGAGAGGGGTGGTTTGCCTTTTGGGTTTTGCTGTTTTTTTTTTTTTTTTTTTTTTTTTTTTTTTTTTTTTTTTTTTTTTTCCAGAGGAACAACTGTTTCTAACAAAGGAGCATTCAGAAGCAGCACAGTGACAAATTTCAAGATGACAAAAAAAATATATTTCCCATAAGCACTGGATTTACTGTCAAAACAACCCCAAACTCTTTTTACATAAGTGAGATGCTCTGACTAATAAACTTAAATGCAGTTCAAAACTAGCTCCAGATCTCAAAATTCTTCCTTATGTGAATAATCCCTAGGAATATGAAGATGGGTTTGCAGAATCTGTTCTTCATTTGGTATTATACTAAAAATGAGAAAAAAGCTTATGAGGAACACTCTCATTTAACACTGTGCTACATCTCCTCATAGTTTGCAGACCCCACTACGCCTTTGAAAATTATTATTTTGAATAAAAGAAATTTACTTTTCCAGCAAACAAGAAAAATCTTAGAATGTTTATTACTATACAAACTTTTAGACTTGTAGATTTCTGGTGGTTTTATTTGCTTTGGATTTCTTAATAAAAGAAAACACAGACACCCATCCCATTTTGCTTAATCTCACTTTTCCCCGTTTTTTGTCCACAAGTACTTAAGAGTTATGAGTTTCTGAAAGCCAAATCTGTCAGACTACTAGAATTTATAAAAGAAGCTATTCTCTGAATCACAAATCCCAAAATGAAAATTTTTTCACTGCTTTTTAAAATATGCCCATTCGGGTAGGTCTCTGCTATTATTATTATTATCTGCATTGAGGCATCCTTTCTTGAGTATTTTTTACTCCTAGGAGAACATGGATAGCTCCCAAATATGGCTCCGTTGTATTTGCTGGCTACATTTTACAACTTTCTGACAGAAAACAACTTAGGCATAGTAAACCACTACACAGCTTCATTGATTTAAATAAAACTACTTTAACTACACAAATATTTGATAACTTCCTTTTATTAAAAGTGATGTTTTGAGAACTAGAAACTGTTCATTTTCATACCTCCCAGTTGAAGGAGTAAACTAGACGTCAACATAAGATTGGACATCACCACAACATTGGTGCATCCTCCACAGGCGACCAGAGGGCAGAAACTCATTTCCTAAAGTCCAGCTCAGATGTAGGAATTAGTTATCTGGGAGAAATAATTCATTCTCAGATACCAAGAAACAGTGCTTAAATCCTGGTAGCCAGCAGTAGCCATCTACTCACTTTAACTAAGCTGTTGTAGAGACATGAACCCGTTACTGTAGCCATTATTATTTCAAACCACTTAGTTTTCACTTAAGCCTTTTGTATTTTTTCAAGTCATGCAACATAAAGTTTTATTTTTTTTTTCAGTTTACTACCATCTGAGGAATGGATTATCTACCACTTTAGGAAGCAGATCTACTGCATACATTTCTTATTTGCTTGTGATGCTTTTTACATATCTTTAACGCAGTGTAGGAGGAACTTGTATCTGAAAGAGTAATCTTTAATAAAAAAAAATTGTTTCTTGTTTAATCTATTATTCTCCCAAAACTAGATGCTTTTACCATGCAAAGGAGGCTTTCACTCACTAAGAATTTCATTCCTCTCTTCTTTTTGTTCCAGAATCAGAACTAACAGCTACCACGATGAGATAACATTAGATTAATATTTCAATGAATTTTTTCAAATCACTGAACAATTGCTATCTGACAAACTCAATCTAATTCCAAATACATGAAATCAATAAAGTCATCTTCTAATTTTATCATGACAAAATGTTGCCATCAAGTTATTTAAACATAAAACTAAAGATAATATCTGAATAATATTTGTCTTGGTTAGCAACAGGCAATTTTAACTATTTCCTTTCAAGTTTGAAGGTTGAAGCAATTATTAAAGGTTTCCAACTTCACATTTCTGGCATCAGAAATCACTTACTATCTATATTCAGTCCTGAATAACAATCAACATGAAGAAACCTTATTTAGAGTAAGTTTTTTATATAAAAATAATTTTGACTCTTACTTGCACACTTACTACTACAATGTAAAATGCAAAACTCACTTCCATAAAGATCTATGCAGCTAGTGGAATATGCCTCTAAGTTTTCTGCAAATAGCATTCAGCTTGTTAATTATGGAGTAATAAAATATTAAAGAGGTTACTAGATTGTTTACATTTTGCATTAATTCTTCAATATATGAGAACCTTGACCGCTTTCAGTAGGAAAAGAATACATTTCTATTGTGTTTGCTACCAACTTTTCACATATGACAGTAACAGTAAACACAGGTGACATTAACTGATCTCCAGGCTAAATTATGTGTTACAGTACGGGTAACTTCAGGAAAAATAAGAGCAAACAAACAAACAAGCAACAAAAAACAAAAGCAGCAAGCATTCTTTGCATGTAATAAAACGCAGCTCATTTTCTTCTCCTAACTAATAAGTAGATGTTTGACCTGGTTACTCCCCAGTGGGGATCTGAACTCGTGGGAGAAACCTGGTCAGCTGCCACTGCTTTTCTTAAAAAGGGTCAAGATGTTTTAAAATTTCATGGTCATTTCCCTGGCTCCAGAGCATTATGAAAAGAAATATGTAAACATTACTGACTCTGCCAAATTGGCAGACTAAGAGCCTATGAAGGTCCAGAAGAACATAAATGGACACATCTAACAAGGGGTAAACAAGTCTGACTTTGAAATTGGTTTCCTGGATAAGCTCAACCATGTAGACATTTAAGCAGAGCCACAATATTCTCAAACACCAATATGTTATAAAGACTATCAAAACTAATTGGTTTGTGTGTGTGTGTGTTTGTTTGTTTTCCAATAAATTGTTATGCTCAAGTTAAGAAACCAATATTTGATTCTCTGATGTTGATTTTTTGGGATTTTAGCTTACCCTTTAGGAAAGCTGTGAAAAGTTTTATGGAAGAGATAAAAAACATGGCGTGGCCTTAAACATACAAATTTCTTTAAGTAAGAAAAGTCAGTAATAGTTTTAGTTTAAATATGTTGTCAAAAAACACAGTTATAACATTTTACACATTAATGCCGCTACACGAAAACAAAACCTTTTTCTGTTTCTTTTTTTTATTTTCAAGTACTTACCAGATGACGCTACCTGCATTTAAAGGTTCCTCCACCTAGCTGACATAGATGTAGACACCTTTCTCTCTCAAATCCTATCTAAATTTATTAAGTGAGGCACACTCAACTAAAGGGGAAAAAAAAGGCTTTGATACAATTCATTCTAGTCTAAAGTAGGCAGTGCCTGTAGAATAAAAACTGCCATTACGGTAATTTATGTGCCTACAGAAATGATTAAATCAATTTTAAATTCCATATTATTTTTCAAACTTACATTATTATCTGCACATGCTTTATGAATCTGTATTTTTCTGATTTACGATCAAAGAAATCTAATAATTTTCAGAAACAAAAATGTTCATCCCACTAAAAAATCAAGCTAAAAGTTCCCTCCATCCAAAAAATAATATCTTTTGAATAGCATTTTAACTTACTTCTGGCTAATTAAAATGAATGAGCTGATTTAAAATAAAAAGAGCCTTTTAAAATTACCACAGAGACAGATACAGTTGTAGTTGATCATTATACTAGAAAAACCTATCTTCTTATAGGACATTCTGTTTTCAATGTTTGGGAAAGAATCTTACTAATTCATAGAAACATAACGTCTGCTCCACAAATTTAAAAAGCACTTTTTAATTACATACCAAATAGCTACATGCTAAAAATAATGCTCGGAAAAAAAACATCAGCAAAATAAACAGTCCCCCACACCTTATTTGCAGGTTAAGAACTTGACTAACTACATATAAAGCTACTGAAAAAAAGAAAGACAAAAAACAGTTTGAAACCAAGTAATCACCAGCAACATTTCCCTCTTTCTATGAAAAGCAGCAGCAAGCAGCTCACCCCACCGTCTCTCCCTTCCAAAGGATCTGAGCATCTATTCTATAAACAACTATGCATAGTCCAATGCATAATAAAAATGAAACATATGTGAATATCCATACCCATTTTTATCAGGATAAATTTGGAAAAATTATCTTAGTTTGCATTAAAATCCAATTTCAGAAGTTTACTTTAAAATTTCATCCAGTAATATTCAGAAGAGAAAATGCATAAAAATCTTTATGCTTGAAATAAATAGTATTGTAAATATAAAGGAAAAAAGAAATCAGGAAGCATTGCAGATGAGAACAAATGCTCTTATAAGCAGAAAGCTCCCTTGCATTTTGTTAAAGTTCTCTTATAACAGCAGCTCATCTTTTTTCCTTGGTAAATTAATCTTTCAACAGCTACTTTAAATTCAGATTTCTAAATTATTGTTTTTAAGCTTTCTCTCTTCAGCAGAATGTGCTCTGAAAGATTATTCAAAATACTTAAAAGCAGAAACAGGTGCAAAAAAGACCGATGTCAGTTTTCTAATCACCCAATACACAATCTCATAACTACAAATCAGAAGAAAAGCATGCAAAATATTTAAAAGCAAATAAAAGAAAAAAAAAAAAAAGCAAGAAATAATACTTTTTAAGTATTCCATACACACCTAATGTTCTGTGTTGTGAACAAGGTGGAAAGAAGACACTTGCACTTAAATCTTGAAGCATCCCGTCCCGATGAACCCAGAGAAACTAATTTCTGCCATCAGAAAGTACTCCACCAGAACACCAAATAATTATATGTGCTGCTCTAAAGGAAACAGCAAGCCCAGTTCTGGCTGTATGTAGTCTCTCGAGGTACAATAATATAAACCTGATCAATTGCAATTAAAATCTGAACAGAGGCTTAGAACTTGAAGTCTTGGTGCATTAGTTCTTGCCAAAAGCAGATGTGATTGTGAGCTGGAAGCAATTTCTCCTGGTAATTTGTGATGACACTGGGTAGAGCAGCCCCAGAGTCCCCAAAGACAAACTCATCAGAGGCTCTAATGTATGCATGACACATGAGGTGGCTCTTTTAGAGCTCAATTAATTGGGCTGAACATTAAGACAGCAAGTTCAGGAGTTTTTTTTTTTTTTCTCCCTTCTTCCCCTCAGAGTTATTTTTCCTCTTTTTACAAGCAGTTTTTTCCCTTACCTTCTGCAAGCCATGTCTCCTGTAATTGGCTCAGATCTTGAAAGAGTTCTGCAAAAAGATGAAGACAGGGATAAAAGACTCATACCTTTAATCTCTTCCTAAGATTAATATATACTCAAAAATATCTTTTTCCTGAAGAATAGCATATGTGAATTCTATTTTGGTAGTCAAACATATAGACAAAGATATTTTCGGGTTGCAGTTAATGATTTCTCTACACCTCTATAATACTTACTGTATTATTTTATCAGTTCTTGAAATAATAACAGAATATTAACCAAGTTCTACAGTGCAGTAGGCTTATTCAGCAACACACAGAGAGGCTAAAACTGCTAGTCTTTCTAATACAGGTGAACTATTTCTACTTTTATGTGACCCAGGCCTCCTCCTGCAATATCCATCCGGATAAAGCTCTCTTGGAATTCAGCACAAGTTCTCCCTGTCCAGACTGAATATTTTTATTAGCAGGGTTGTAACTATCATATAAAAATTTTGAAGCAAAGGCCTGAGGAGCTGCAACAGCAAAGAGAAATGGAAAATCTTCTTTCTGTACTTCACCTTATGTTTTACTTTATATGACAAGGGAACTAGCACTATTTCCTGCATACTACACTTATTGTACTTATTTAAAGTGAAACTACTTTCTCCCAAGACTGCATTTTGCAGAAGAAAAACCTTTTTGCAGTTCACTGAAATTGGTCGCTTACAAAGGTGCAAACAAGAGCAGCATTCAGATCATTTGCAAAGCCCTGAAACGCAGTTACAAAAATTCTGTTTACGGACAACGAGTAGGATATTTGAACTGACAAATGGTTTATTTTTAATTTACCGTATTTTGAAAGCGACTTCCTCTTTTCTGAATGCTGACAGTTTACTATTTACATACACTTAAATGACAGAGCCTATTCATTTTTCCTCTCGACTGATACCTCATGTTAGAAATCTTTTAACTGAAAATCAGGAAGCTGTTTTCTTTTCAATTTGCATCAGAAAAAAACTTTTCTAAGCAAATAAGTAGGGTTTTAAAAAGTATCTCAGCGAGTCCTCACCCTGCTACGATTTATATGGGGGTATTGTTAGCCCCTGAGTGCTCTCCTATATGCCTATCATACTCAGAGGGGTGTAAGAGAGCATGTCTACTGACCTTGTAACCTAGAGAAGTGACAACCAGACTACAGATCTCAAGCCCTGGTTATGTCAGCTACCGATGTGAACAAGTTACAAAACTTTGGCTCTCAAAATATCTTCTGTCTTGGTCTTCCTTAACTGAACTTACCAGGGTTTTTAACCCTATCATTGTTATGCTGGCACAACAGCAGCAGCTATACCACAAGGCAAAAGTACATCTCCACACAAGCATTTCTGTTCCTACTCTCACCAGTGAGCATACACCAGTGGAAAAGAGTGAGGGAACATGGAAAGCTCTGAATCTCATGAGGCCTGAAGGAGATAAAACCAGGTGCACTCTGTCCATGACTTGTCTGAGATGCTGCAAAGTCTTGGCCTCAGTGCATGACATTCATGTGCCGCATGCGCAGCAATACCTAAAATGCAACAGGGTAAGTCAAGGAAAGAATATCAGCTTTATCATTTTATTGCCTTTGCCAGTTTGTTTTGCAACAGTAAATGCAATTTTCTTGTCTTGTTTATTCAGATAGTTCTAGATAAATATATTTCCAAAATAAATAAATAAAGAGCTCTCAAGAAAGCTTCTCTGCATTAGTAAGTGAAGGGGGGGGGGGTGGGGGGGGGGAAGAAGAATTAGCCCTCACCTTCTGAATCATGAGCCAGGTCTCTGTTAATGAATTTTCTTTTCCTGACATTTGTCGGTCTCTCATTACAGTTTCTCCCACGCGGATTCTATAAACAGGAAAGATCAGTTACTTTAGAAATCTGAGGGTATTTTTTTTTTTCATTTAATCAAGAATACTCAAAGCCAGCACGAATTCTTTACATTTTCAAACAAGAAAATGATCTTCTTACAGCCTCAAGCTTCTAGCAGAAGATATTGCTGAGCACCTAACATCCTCCTAAAGATTCCTGTGTCTAAATGCAATATAATTCTAGCTATCCATGAAGATTTCTATTTGTGCAGACAAATATGTAAGCAACACAATACTAACCATGTATTTTTTAGCATCTAAAGTACACAAACCTAGACAATAGCATATAGATCCTCTCTGCATAATATACACAGGAGAATCCAAACACAAGACTATAACCAACTGCTCTGTCTTTCCCTCCTCTGTCACTTATAAAACTGTTTGCAAAGTCCTGAAAGCAAATTAAAAAAAAAAAAAAAAAAAAAAAAAAGGTTTGACTCAATTTCTTTCTTCTGAGTGCTGGATGCAAACACAGCCAGAAACTTTGGATGCAGTTGCTGCTCTTGCCTTTCTGATCCAATGATTATGTTTGGGATTTTTTAATCATCCTTAAACTGTCTTTAAAAGAACATTATGTTTATTGCAATTAAGGGAAGATAAGCTTGTCTTGCAGGCACAGCTCTCACATGAAGAGTCGCCCCTACAGCGGCAACAAAGCAGATACTCTGCCTGCACAACTCCCCCACATAAATAAGTCAGAGTCAAGTTTATAAACACCAACTTTAAGATGATCACTCACATTGGTGACCATGTAAGGCACTTGCTGGTCATAAAATCCATCCATCCTGTGGCTCTTCCACGAGTCTGAGCTCAGTGTTTTATTTACTGGGCATTGGATCTGGAGATTTCCTCGGGATCTAGACTCCAATCAGCCTGGAGGGGAATACAAGATGGCTTTTAGATTAAAAAAAAAAAAAAAAAAAAGAAAAAAAATCATGAATGAACTGCTTGCATTTGCATAGCTAATTAACCTCAAAGAGTCCCATTCATAAAAACAATCCTCCCTTCTCTGCCTTCACCTGGGCTACACGCTTCTGCCGAGAAAACCCGGAGCAAAAGCACTTCGGGGCAGCAGCCGAAAGACGGGCGAGAGGCAGGGGTTTATGTACCCTCCCGCAAGATACCCCTGGCCATCCGCGCTGCTGGCAGCCCCGGCTGGGGCCGTGTGCTCGGCTGTAATGGCGATCGGCACCTCACGGCAGCGGCGGCAGCGCCCGCCGGCCACGGCCACGCACACCCACACGCGCACACACACACACGCACACACACAGCACGCACCCCGCCGCCTTCTCCTCGGGGATAGCTCTGGCCAACCCCCGCCACCACGCAATCCCCCAGGGCGCCGGACAAAGTTGCGGGGAAGACCCACCTGAAGGCCACGCACGGCGATCGGCTGCAAAAAAATTCCCTCCAAATTTAATAAAAACATTAATTATTCCCCGGCACTTCCCCCTCGGAAGCAGTGAGCGCCACTGACAGAGCTCAATCCCGTGGTTTTTCCTCTCCTCCTCCTCCAGGGGCCCCCGAGCCGCGCCGGCGGATCCCCGCCGCCCATTGGCTCCCCGCGCCCCCCGCCGGATCGCCGGATCGCCGCCCGCCCGCCCGGCCCCGGCCCCGGCTCGCGCCCCCCGGCCCGGCCCGGCCCCGCTGCCGGCGCGAAGGAGGAACCGCAGCCCGCGGCAGCTCGGCCGGGGGGGGGGTGGGGGATCAGCAGTCATACGCGGCACGGTGCCACCGCACCGACCCCGCGACGATCCTACAGCAGCTCTTACACCCCCGGTTCCCCCCCCCCTCCTCCAATCCCCCATAAATAAATAAGTAAATAAATAAATAAATGGAAATAAATAATTAAATGAAAATAAGAAATTGAACAAGTTTTGTCTCTCTGGCTTCAGAAAAGCAGGGAAACAACATCCCCACACACGTACACCATCCTTTTTCTGGCGGCACAGCAGTCCCACCAAACTTTGCAGGAACCAGAGATGAGGGCACCCGGAGACTTTGACCACAGCTGAGGCTTCATGCTGCTCTGCCACGATCCGGTGGCATCCCAGTTTGTTTTGTTTTGTGATGTTATTATTGTTGTTTTAGCTGAATCATAGAAATCAGTTGTTGCTTTTACTTTCATTACAATTTCTTAGTTTCTGGGTCAGCAGCCAGGCACTAGACACAGGGGTTGTCTTTTTGGTGGCAAGATGTGCAAGCTCAGGATTTCTGATGGACTCTCCAAGCCAACTTACTTTCTTTCTCTGCAGAGAGTGGATGATGGAAGGCCTAAAAACTCTGAACTGCCGACACGCAGCAAAACAGCAGTTTGGTTTTACAAAGCATCCATCCTTGTCCAGGCTTTGGGAACAGAACAGCAGATAGCGCAGCAGACAGGTGGCATACTTGGGTATTCATGACCTGCTGTGAGATACAAAGTTTCAGATTCTTATGATCTGTTGCAGCTCCACAACAACGGGCAGATCCCTGAGGGACCAAATCCAGCTTTGCCCTCAGCCCTTTCTGAGGGCTTTCATCACACCTAAGGGTATAACAACACTTTTGAGTAAATTGCCTGCAGGGCATTGAGAATTTTCAGGTTTCTTCTAGACTAGTTTATATTGATAATTCCAGTTATTTTGCTATTCTAATGTATATTTCTTTCTCTTACAACTTTTTCCCCTCTCCTTCCATTCCAGTTTTGCTGTTCACACTCACACGCTACTTGTCTTGTCCATAAGACAGCCTCATTTTCCCACCAGGCCATCCTTCCCTTGCTGCCATGTCAGGGTAAATGCCCTCCACCAGCTGCTAGCTTCTTTGCTCTTGCTGTTTCCATTCCCCAGGACACCTGGAATTACAGGAGTGTATTCGATTAAATTTTAAACACTATCCCAATGATAATTGTAATGTCTTCTTGGCTAAATCTCGGAGCTGCTACTTCTGTACACCACTTCTGTAATGTAACAGGGAAATAAAAAAATAAAACCCTACAAGTATAAGTGCAGTTATGCAGTTTCCTGGATAATTACTCCTTTTTTTTTTTTTTTTTTTTTTTTTTTTTTTTTTTTTTTTTTTTTTTTAATTTATATGTATACCGAGACATAAGCAGCTGGGGGGACATGATGGGCTTGGAAGAGTCTGGCCCCAGGAGTGCATGTCTTAACCCACAGACCTGCCAGGTCAGCTGCCTTCTGCAAAGCTGATGGAGCTCTCCTGCTGGGTGCATGTCTGAGCTACTCATCAACCAGTCCCCAGAATACGGGACTCTCTAGTCTAAATCAAAATCATGATGAATGGCTTTTTCTTTAAACAACACATTAAAGTTTGTTGGTGTGTATGTTTCCCAAGCAGAAGTTCCTGAGGGACCTCAGTCATGTCAGGTGTTCATAACCTCCTGCAGACTTGGCACAACTTGATCCCATCCTGTGCTTCCCTGTACTGCAGTCTGCACCTCACTGGTTGCTTACAGAGCTGGAAGAGCCTGCACCTCGCTGGTGACAGTGGAGCTGGAGGAGGCCTGCTCCTCACTGGTGCTCTAGCAGCCTGCAATGGCTGTATTCAGTGTGCCAGGGTGGGCTGTGTCTCCAGGAGAAGCCCAAGTGTCCCAGCTGGAGACACACTGCGTGCCTGCTGCTCTTCCTCATACTGTGTGTCTCTCCCCTTTCTCCTTCTCATCTCTGGCCCTTGCACATGCTAGGGAGGAATGGAAGGAATAAAGCCATTTTGAAGACCTCTTTATCCTCTCCGTTCATCCACTGTGCTGAGGGAAATTGTCATTAAGTACTAAGCAGTTGATGCTTACAGAACAACAAAACAAAACCTTAACATATATGCCATCAAGTCACTCCAATTTCTATATGCAGAAATGTAGCCTTGTACTGTTAAAAGTCATACCTGTGTTATACGTAAACTAGTGTAGCCACACTAGTAATTTTGCAATTTTGAATTCTTGTCAAAAATTCCTGCAACCTTGCTTTATTTATGTAATAAACTTTTAATGTTTTCACTACTATTTCTGAAAAAAAAAAAAAAAAAAAAAAAATTGAAAAGACTGAACAGATTTGATCAAGTTGAATGTATTCTAGAAAACTGTGTTGAACTTATTTTGCTAAAAATTGTTTAAAATAATTCAGCTTTCCTATTAGCGGTGCTTGGTAAGTAAGATATTTGTTTTCTTTTAGAAACTTGGACTCAGTTACAGTACAAACCCTCACTATATACTGAAAAATACATATTATTCCCATATCATAATGGCAATGTATACTTCACACAGTTATCTGAAAGAGGACAATGAAATATACATTTCTTGCTTGATTTGACACACACTGGCGCTACAAATCATTGCTGTAACTTAAAAAATCAAAGTAAATCCAGGCAGGCAGAATGAAGAGAAGATCCGATAAACACCAAAAAAACTTTGTGCAGAAAATAAGGACCCTTTTGGAAATCTTCATAAAATCCTTCAGGGAACAAAAACAAAAGCAAAAACAAAAACCATAGTCACAACTGAAATATATTAACCAAGTAAATTTTAAAACAATACGAAAAAATACTTTAAAAAGAAAGATCTTACTTTGTTTTCTAAAATTGTTATCTGAACCATTCCTTCTAAGCATTGTCCCCAGTAAATGTGTTGTACTTCTGAACCTGATGTACAACAAAGGAATGCCATCAATTAAGCAACTATTGAGCAGCAATATTTAAAGCATAGTCTACAGCAGACTCAATAAAATAACAAGTAAGTATGTGACTACAGCAAAACCATGACATCCCAACAAGATTTCTCTTTAACAAATTAATCCTTGGCCACCTTTTAACCTACTGATGCTGAATCTCCCAGCATGCTAACAGTGTTTATTTTATCATAATGCTATTGGCAAACAAATAATACATAATAACAAAACTAAAAAGAAAAGACAAAGATAAATGAATATGGCAGCCTGGCTTTTCATAAAGCCTTTGGTTCAGATGCAGCATCCAAGACCGAACCTTAAGTTAGAAAAAAAAGGAAAGTACCGGTAGGAAGGAAGCACACAATAATTATATCCATATGGTAAACTATCAGATGTGGGACTAACAGTGCATGCAAACAAGTGTCTTCAAAGAAAGAAGGAAAGAAAACAAAGAAGTAATCCCAGTTAAATGGTACTTAACATATGGATTAATAACACATTGTATACATCACTGTAGTTTAGAGTCAACAATGCTCTAACCTAGAGGCCTCCTTAGGTAACTGCATTTAAATGCCCATTTACCTGGTAATGCAATGCAAGGTAATTTTCAGATAAACATTTATGTACTAGAAACTTATGCTAGTCAGGAAAACAAAAATTAAGATATGTTCCACATGCAGTGCAAGAAGAAAAACCCAAACATTTTTCTTATTACAGGTGAAAAGTGAACTCAGTTTAATAAATTTTCAGCCTCCATCTTAGCTTAGAGTTGACCACAGAAGCCTTCGAAAAGAAAGATGTCTATTCTTGTAGTCAGAGCACTGTCCTAGAACAACGAGCAGCTCAGAAAGCTGTCTGGTTCCAGCTCAGCTGGCAGTCTGCTATGTAATCCCCACACAGGCTGCCCCTGTCACTGCACCTCTTTTTTATTCCTATGAAGAGGGATAATGATTCTCTCTTCATTTGAGATTTATCACTGAAAATAATAGGAAGCCTATTAATAGAAAGTGTATCCTGGCTGCAACTAGCACCTTGAATTGCCATTATCTATCTCTCTCTGAATTTGTAGAGGACAAAAGTCGTGCTACACATGCATAGTAACTTCAATAACACTACACAACAGAAGTGGGTCAATCAGACCTCTGAATTGATGCTCAGGAGAGAACATTCAGCTCTGCACCATATCACAACCAAAGCAGTAAGCAATCTTCTGCCACAAAATACCAGAGAACAAGTGAAATGGCAGTTTGATTGGCCTGTATAAACTGTCACTACCTTAGTGATACTCATTTCCTGACAAATTGAGCAAATCAAAATAAAAAAGCTACTAGCCTCAAACTTAACATAGAAATATATGAGTCTCTGGTAGAACCAAGTAAAAGCATACACACATGCATGAATTGTAATGGGTTTCTTGCAAGCTCATTGAAGTTCCTAGCTTGCTGCCCTTGCCTTACACTCACAAAATGGCCAGCCACAATGAAGTAGCCTAGAAGTCATTTGGATATCAGGCGAGACAAAGAATTTGTGCACAAACCTTAATCTCACAGATGGCTTTAATCTGCATATCCTCCCTTATTAATACTGAGAGAGAATCATGCAAACACTTCAGAATCCTTTGCATATTTTATGTGAGATTTTTGCCCCATTATAGCTCATGGGGGAGATAGAAAACCTCAAATCTCCTTATGCGGTTATAGTCTAAGACAAACACAGAAGAAAGACAAGGAAGAGAAAAGTTTATCAGCTGTGTTTGCTAAATTGCTGGAAAATCTGTTATTCAGAACTTGTTCAGTGTACATTAAGGGAGTCTGGTTGTGATTTCATCCTTCCT